ATTATTAAGGTCGATTATTTATAATCTCGGGAAAGAAAGAGAACTAGTTTAAGTATATAAGTATATTAGGATTTGTTTTGTTTGGTTATTAGGAATAGTTATATATAGTTGATAAAACAATTTATATTAAATTATTTTACGGTTTAAAATCAGTTTATATGTTGAAAATTTCAAATATCATAACATACTGTTTTAAAAAATACTACATGATAATATTTTCAAGGCAAAACCATAAGTTAAGCCCCTGAACTAATCTCAGAATTACTATTAAGCCCCTAGATTGTAATTGATGCAGTTAAGCCCTTGAACTCTGGGATCAAAGCAATTAAGCCCTTCTTCTTACACTATTAAGCCCCCAGACTTTAATTTTTAAAATAAATTGCTTAAGAAGAAAGGCTTAATTGCTTTGATCCCAGAGTTCAAGGGCTTAACTGCATCAATTAAAGTCTAGGGGATTAACAGCGATTCTGGGGTTAGTTCAGGGGCTTAACTTATGGTTTTGCCTATTTTCAAATGCCCAATATAACCGTGTTAAAGAAAAAGTGTCATATAAGTCAATAAAGTCAGCTGGACTAAACCCGCCCTCAGTAATAGCAAAATATCAAGATTCAATTAAAAAAGGAAAACACACATTTCTATTTATATTGAAACCATATAAACCTAGTAAAAAAAAAAATAAAGTTAAATTCGGCTAAAATATCAACTTATTAATCCTTTTGGTATGTTTCCAAACCCCTCCATCCCCATTTCAAATTTTAAATTCAAAAACTTTAAACTCTTAATCATTGAGATTATTGGTTAATAAAGAATAAAAACCTTGAATAAAAATGCATGACACTAATCACTTAAGCAGCATTAAAATTGTTGGCTAGAGAAAAAAAAAAGAGGAAAAACTGTTCATCTATTATTCTCTTTATTTATTGGATATTTCTCACATGTGAATAATGTACAATTTTTTTTATAATAATTATATTAAAAAAATAAAAATTAATTTTTATTTAATTAAATTATTTAATAAAA